ACTCTATGATCTGTGCTTTCATTGTCTTCAGTCTGTCATTCTCAGAGCAAGAATTTTTTTTGTTTGAATGAAGGAAATTGTCAGTTTTTTTCTTTTCTGGGCCTTGCTTTTTGTGTTGCATCTACAAGTCATTCACCAAACTCATGGCCACCTAAATTTTCCTTCTGTGTTCTTTCAGGAGTTTATTACTTTACCTTTGAATTTGTATCAGTGTCATACTTTTGTTTCCGTTGGAAGGGTCATGTCTACATTTCTTTCATGCCTGTTTGTTTACTTGAGTTTCTTTTTCATTAGAATTGCCTTTCCTGGGGCCTCCCCAGTGGCGCAGCGGTTAAGTGCTGGGCTGCGAAGCTGTCTGCAGCCTCTGCAGTGCCGGCTCATCCCCAGTCACCCGTGAGGGTCCCACATTGCGTGCAGACCTCTCGTTGCCACGCCTGCTGCTCCCCTCAGCAGTGTATTTCATCAGTCTGCCTGTTCTGCTCCCCACTCTGGCTCTGGTGGATTCGCTCACCCTCCCACGCTTCTGACTGTACCCAGTGCCTGTATAAATAAATAAATAAATAAATAAAACTTTAAAAAAAAAATTGCCTTTCCCCTTAGTTGATCAGTTGAGCATGTCTTTGTGAGTCTGTAGGAAAGTAGTTGATTTCTGTATCATTCAATTATGTTATTCTGTCATCAAGACCAGGAGCTGTGGCTTTGTGGATTCTTTCAGTTCTTCATGGAGACAGTCATGTCATACAAAACACATGAAAATGATTTTTTCCAAGAATGGAAGTTCTCCTCTATATCCAATTTGTATAAAGCTGTGTTACATTTTATCAAATCCTTTTTTATTTTTATTTTGCCCTTTCCAATAGCAGTACTTTTTGTCTTTCATCTTTTCTGTAGTTGCCTTAACTTGATGTTTACATTACTGGTTATAAATCTTTCCCTTTTTTGTGTATTGTTCAATGACCTAAATTGCTCTAGTTAATTGCAATTGGTGCGAACTACAGCATATGATAGGTTGTATTTTTGTCATTTACTTCCAAATAACTCATTTTCTTGAGGCTCCCTCATTTTGTGTATCATTAGGAGGTTGTTACTGAAGTTTATCCTATTATGGGGTTTCCCAAGTACCGGTTATACATTTCTGGGTAAATTTCTTTTGTGGCAAGATTATTTTTTATTTGGTTTTAGCTCTTCAGATTTTTAAGGCAAACTTTCTTTCCTGGAATGTTTTCTATCATTGTGAATATTCCTTGTGAACTGGAGAAAGAATATGTTTCCTATTGTTTGAAGTTTTCCGTAGATTATAATTTTTAAAAAAGATTTATTTATGCATACAAGGACTGGGATACAGGCCAGAGGTGTGAGTGTTGAGAGGATTCACCAGAGAGAGAGAATGGGGAACAGAACAGGTGGATCTACTGAAATACACTGCTGAGGGGAGCAGCGGGTGTGTCAGGAGAGGTCTGCTGCACCATGTGGGTCATCTCCCTGGCCGGGGATCGAACTCATGCTGCAGTGGCTGTAGATTGCTTCGTAGTGCTGTGCTTAACCCCTTGCACCATCAGGGAGGCGCCTAGACTATGTTTTAACCCACTTGTTACATGGTGGTGTTCAGTTCACCTTCCCCTCCTGATATTTTGGCTAGGGAAATTTATAATTAATCATATGAGGAAGTTGAGTCTGCAGTCAAAATACTGCATTCATCTCTTTCTTTTAGTATTCTGTCAGCTCTTGCCTTAGGTGTTTACCCCTTTTATTTAGTATGCACAACACACATAGGATTGATGTGCCTATTCAGAGAAGGGCCCCCTTTATACTTCTGTGTGGTGTCCTTTATCTCTAAGAGTTCATTGATTTGAAGCCTACATTGCCTGTGATTCATACATCTATGGTTTTTTTGGATAGGTAAAGTGTTTCACTGTCCCTTTTCCTTGCATCTAATTGTGTATTTTAAAGTGGTTTCTTTTGTAGACAAAATGTATTTCTGGTTCAATTGTACTGATATTTTGATAAAAATATATAAAATTTTACTGTTTTCTAATTTTTTCCGTTCTGTTTCCTTTTGCCTTCATATTTTTTCAGACTGATTGCTTTTTTTTTTTTTCTTATTCACTTTAGGATATCAACCGCACATTTGCATTTTTCTCTTAATAATTGTCAGTGAGTTTTCCATATACATTGACAACTAACTCCTTTCTCTGTCAAGTAACATCAAAGTTCATTGATTATGGAAGTACCTCATAAAACAGTAATCGCCATCTCCCCCCGCCCCCACCTGTAATATTGCAGTCCTTTATTTCACCAGAACATAACATTATAATTACCATGTGCATTGTTGCTAATAGTTTTTTCAACCAAGTTCACCTGTTACCCTGATTATAAAAAAACAACATATTTTATCTTCCTTTGTTTTCTAATGTTCTGCTTGCATCATTAGCATTCTTTCTGATAAATATTTGAACATTTCATTCACCAAACAGATACACTGAAAACAAATTCCCTCATTTTTTTCCTTAGAATGCCTTTTACATTTTTTTTTTACTTTTGGAAAGAGTTTCACTTGACACCATTTTAGGAAAGTGAATTTTTAAGTTCAAAATACTAAATATTTTGCTTAGGTTTTGCTCAATTGGAATTTAATAAGTTTGGTTTAATTCTGACCTTTCCTTTTTACACGTTAAGGGCTGAGGGGAAGGGGATGAGGTAGTGAGGAGACACTGACATTGGATAAGGTGCAAGTATCTTCAGCTGAGAGGCTCAGCAGGTCTTTATTCATTTTTAGTAAGCAAAAAATATATCATCATGTGTAAAACAGAAACAATTAGTGTATTATATTCCCATAGACTACTGGCTCCTACGGGTTTCAGCTAGACGGTAGCCTTCAAGGTTAATAGATGAAAAACCAAACCTAACACTAACTTATTATTTTAGCTAGACAGTTACCTAAGACAGTGGATAGCTGCCAGTACATCCCTATCAGCTAAAGCCTAAGCATCAAAAGACTATTCTATTCATATGGCCTTCAGTCAGAGACCAGCTGCTACTCAGCTACCAGAACTTTTTCTATCTACAAACTTCTTAGCACAGTTAACTTCATTTAAAAACTTTGCTAAGAAACTTCTAAATTAAAAGGAACTTCTAAAAAAGCAAAAGGACTTATTATAATAGTTGTGCTAGTTTGCTTGTCAGATATGTACAATAAATTATCTCCCATTGTCAAGTGGGCCAAATTGTGTAGTAACTAATTTCTAAACAGGTAATTTTCCGTGCCAATTGCCTAATGTACTTTTCTGATAAATTTTTCTCTTTTTATGACCAAGAACAAAAAATAAAGGGATGTTAAGTCTTCAGCCCCACGGTGTGAGGCACAAGCAATCTTCGGCCCCACGGTGTGAGGCCCTTTGAGCTTCGATGCTTGCCAGTGTCTTATCTGGCTGGGGCATCAAGGCCTCCTGCAGCAATTTTCAACTAAGGATGTTTTATTTGGTTGTGTCTTTATCATGCTTGGTGTTCTTTTATTTTTCTACATACTATCATTTGTCATTAATTTTGGGAAATTTCAGTGATTAGTATTTATTCTGTTACTTTTTATGTTTTCTATTCAGGTGTGTATTTTAGCTCTATGTTAAAGATGGCAATACTCGGGGTCACAGATAATGTGTTATGGCTCCCTTTATTCTGTTTTGTGCATGATAGAGACTGATGAAATAAATATATAATAAACAAAGTACTGCTTATGTTAAGGGTAGAAAATTGCAGCATATTTTAAAATGCCATCATTCTTTTCTCCCCAAATTTTGGAAACTGATTTGCCATTTTATTTCCTGGCTTTCCTTGATTTAGGAAGCATTGATCATTTGAAGTTATGGGGTTTTTTGGGTCAAATTGAGGATCCCAGCTTCTAATTTACTTAAATGTCAGCCTGGAAGTTGGCAATACATCTCTGTAGTGGCTTGTCAGAAAACACTTCCTCCTGTATTGCTGGAAAGGAGATTTTATGTGCTTTTGGAGGAAAACATTATTAAATCCTTTGCATGTCCTGTTATCATGTGTAGACTCACTATCAAATCATTGTGGACACATAAACATCAACCATTTTGACCATCTGTAAACTTTTGTTAAGTCTGCAGTTCTTAACCTGTTCCGTTGCCATCAGATTGGACAGTGAAATGAAGAAATGAGTGTGGTATACATTACACAATTTAAAAGAAATATTTCTCAAAATTATTTCCATTTTATTTGGCTATATGTTAGTCCTACTTATATTTTGGAGTATGTTAGGATGACATGCTAGCTGATTCTTCCTGAAAGTTTGATTACCAGACTTCCCTGGACTCAGATTTTTGCTGATGGAATAAAGATGATTCCAGTTCTTCCTGTATTTTTAGTCATTAAAACCTTGTGCAGATTTGTCTCTCTGCCACATGGACTATTATAAATGTTGGGTCATGGCAAAGATGATACATTTTCTCACAAGAAATTGATTATCATAAAAATTAGATAATACTGGCTTCAGTTATATGCATATCTTTTTTTGTCATTTCCCTATATGCTCTGAACTTCCCAGTTACAGAGAATTAAGGTATAATGTGATCCTAGGAAGAATTTGTAAATACTTTCCATGTGTTCATGATAGTGTTAAATTTTTAAGGAGTATATGTGGACAAAGTTTTTCTTTTTTTTTTTTAAATTGGGGTGATGTTGGTTTACATTTTTGTTTGTATTTGGGAGTATAGGATCCTTCTTAATGCTATTGCCAATACTGTACCCACCACCAAAGCATTTGTGGCCCCACCAACTTAGTCCATTGTACTATCTCCCCACCTTCCTCTTACCCTTTTCCTTTCTCTCCTTCTCTGGATTCCTTGGCTGTGTAAACAGAGTAAATTTTAGTGATCAAATCATAAATGTTTGGATATGGCATTATTTTAAGTAACCTCCCTAAAAATAGAGTATAGTGTTGTCAATCACATGCATTATACTATCCACATACTTGGAATGTTTAGGACTCAGTGACATATGAAGATGTGACTGTGAACTTCACCCGGGAAGAATGGGCTTTATTGGATTCTTTCCAGAAGAAACTCTATACAGATGTGATGTGTGAAACCTTCTGGAATCTGGCCTCAATAGGTAAGAATAACATTCCTTCACCTTTTCCATTAGAGATCAAGTGTATCTTTCTCATCAGTGTTGTCCAATATGTAGCGTCTGGAAAGGAAGGACTATGATAAATAAACAAGTTGTACTGAGAACTCTCAATGGATTTAAAATCTAGTAATTCTCATATAATTTCTAGTAATTCTTAATTCTTTATCTTGGCCTGCATTTTAGGAAAAAAATGGGAAAATCATATCATTGAAGATCAGTCCCCAAACCAGAGGAGAAAACTAAGGTAAGTAATATACAATAGAAAGAAGTATTTTTCATCTTTGGGTGTACTCTGAAATTTTAAAAAGAGCTAACAAAACAAATAACCCATTTCATATTATTTATTCTTAACAAAAACTTTACCAGAAAAAACTTTCTTATATGTTACATGTGTTCATTGTTTGCAAAATAGGACACATAGAAACTACAAGTAAACCCATGCAGAAATGCCGAGAAGATACCATAGGTTTGTTTCCAGACCATTATAAAGTGAATGTAGTAATGAAGTCATGTGATTTTGGTTTTCCCAGAGGTTTATCCAATAGCAGTGTATATACCTTAATTTAAAAATACTATAAAAATACCAATTTTTTGACATAAGGCACTAATGAACTCTTCGGTACAGATTGCTACAAACCTTGAATTTGTAAATGCTTAATAAAGGTGTAGAGTTAAAAATTTAAGTATGCCTGTGTAAGAATATCACTGTTGTGATAATACCCTGGATAAAGTCCTGTTGAATCCAGTTTCAGAAAATCCTTTATTTTTTCTGTAAATTGTAATATGTACTAGATATATGATGGTGAATGAGGAAGCCATTAATAATGTTCTTGCTTTTTACAGAAGTTATATGGGAGAGAGAGATTGTGAAAAGAAAGAAGGTAGTCAACATGGAGGGAAGAACAGCCTTATTCCGAATCTCAGTCTAAACAAGAAAACTATTGGTGTAAAACCATGTGAATGCAGTATGTATGGAAAAGTCTTCATGTGTTCTTCATCCTTTAGAAAGCACATCATACGTCACACAGGAAACAAACCATATGAGCCTCCAAAATATGCTGAGAAACCATGTACATGTGAGAAATGTGGGAAAGTGTTCAGATTTTCCATTTCACTTCTAAGACATGGAAGAATGCACACTGCAGAAGTCACCTATATGTGTAAATGGTGTGGGAAAACATTAAGTTCTTATGAACATTTACAAATACACGAACGAATTCACACTGGAGAGAAACCATATGAATGTAAAAACTGTGGTAAAGCATTCACTAGTCCCCGTTGTCTTCAAAAGCATGGAAGAACTCATAGTGGGGTGAACTATGCATGTAAACTCTGTGGTAAAGCCTTTAGAGATCACAGTTATTTAAATACTCACATGAGAGTTCATACTGGAGAAAAGCCCTATAAATGTGAACTATGTGGTAAAGCCTTAAGAGATCTGAGTTCCTTAAAAGTACATCAGAGAACTCATACTGGAGTAAAACCCTACAAATGTGATGAATGTGGAAAAAGCTATGGCTATTATACCTCCTTAAGTAATCATAAAGTAACTCACAGAGGAGAGAAACCATATAACTGTAAGATATGTGCAAAAACCTATACTTTTCGCTCAAGCCTTCGAAAACACATGATCACTCATACAGGAGAAGGACCTTATAAATGTAAGGGATGTGTGAAAACATTTATTTCTCCCAGTGCATTAAAAGTACATGAAAAGTGTCATACTGTAGAAAAACCTTATGAATGTAAACAATGTGATAAAGCCTATAAAGAGCAGAATTCCTTAAAACTACATGAGAGAACTCATGCTATAGGGACTCTCTATGAATGTAAACAATGTGGTAAGTCCTATGGTGACCAGCGTTCCTTAAAAATACATGAGGGAATTCATAATGGAAAGAAAATCTATGAATGCAATCAATGTGGCAAAGCCTATAGAGATAATTATTCCTTAAGAATTCATGAGAGAATTCATACTGGAGAGAAACCGTATGAATGTAAATGGTGTGGAAAAGCCTTTAGAGATCAAAGTTTGTTAACAATTCATGAAAGATCTCATACTGGAGAGAGACCTTATGAATGTAAGGAATGTGGAAAAGCCTACAGATATTACAGTTCCTTACACTATCATAAAACAACTCACAAGAAAGAAACCTCATAATGGTTAGGAATGTGGTGAAACCTATATTGTTCTCTCTAGCCTTCAAAATCACATGAACATTCACACTGGTGCAGTACATGAATGTAAATTAATTTGGGAAAACATTTCTTCCAGTTATTACACATATATGAAAATAGTCATACTGGAGGGAAACCTTATGAAGCAGTGTGGTAAAACTGTCAGATCTTCTTTGGGGCTTCAAATACATGAAAGAATGCATACTGAAAAGAAACATGAAGAGCATGTAGTAAAGCATTCAGTAAACAAACCCCATTAGAAAACATGAAAGAACTCAGACAGATACCCTGTGAATTTAGTTATGTTGAAAGGCCTACTCTTGTGAGACTCATACTTTCAGAGATATGTGTGATTGTGCACTGGAGGAGAACAAAATTGAGAACCTTTCAGTCCTTTCTGAAGGGATAAGAGGACTCATTGAAGAAAACTTTGAAAATAAGCAGCATGTGCAGGACTTGAATTGGTTCAGATTCTTAAATGTGAAAATTTCCATGGAAAATAAATAAATGAGAAAGTTTTGTGGAAGCTACTCCATATTTTATATATAGAAAACTGTTTATATATTTTTTCAATATATATACATTCAGTATGTATATTCGGTATGTATGTATATATTTTACCTTTTTTGCTGCTTACTGAAAAAGCTGCTTTGCATTGGTGGGTTAAGGGTGCGGTCGATTTATACTTTGTCTATTTTCTATGCCATTATATACTTGAAATAAATTTTTATGCTTGGCAAATACTTCCTGTTAAAATTTTTTTTAAACATCCCTGTTGACATTTTCACAATACAGGATTTCTCCCTTCAGGTGTGGTCACCATAGTTTTCCCACCACCAAGCACCCATAAACTGTTGAGTTGGGAACACGCCAGTATGTCATTAGCTCCAATAGGGGGTCTTGGGTCTCCCCATCCAACAGCATGAAAGATGGGGATTAATAACATGCACCCATTTTACTTGAGCCCAAATAGCAGGAATGAAAAAGAGAAGGATCCCCACTGAAGGGAGAGCTGAAATGCAAGAGAGAATAGATCTTCAATGGTCAGATCTTTGACACGCCCACAGGGGAGTTTCTTGGTCTGTGGGGTGAGCTGTAGTTGTTTTCAAGTAGACTGGTCAATCTTATTGTTTTTACTGGAACCCATAGTGGTTCTGTAGGTGACAAAAAAGAAACATACCCTCTTCCTCTCCCCCAGGTTAAAAGTTCTACAGCTCCCAGCCAGGTTGGTCTTTGCAATTGGCGGTGTTACACGACCAAGGGTTTAGGGCTTGGTTCTCCTGGGATAAAATGTTCTAGTGCTGTGAGGCCAGAATTAGGAATGAAATGTTCCATTTGCAACATAAGTTAAAAGTCAATAGAGCTTTTTATATTTGTTTTTGTGGGGACAGGTTACTTCTTTTTTTGCTTTAAAGATACCCCTTTTTTGTTTTTAAAAGTTGTGGTTTAAAGCGCCCATTGACTTTTATTTTTTTAAAGATTTATTTATTTATTTATACAAGCACTGGGTACAGTCAGAAGCGCAGGAGGGTGAGAGAATTCACCAGAGCCAGAGCGGGGAGCAGAACAGGCAGACTGAAGAAATACACTGCTGAGGGGAGCAGCGGCACGGCAGGAGAGGTCGCCATGGATCAAACCAGCGCTGCAGAGGCTGCGGGGAGCTTCGCAGCCCAGTGCTCAACCGCTGCGCCACTGGGGAGGCCCTGGCTCTTTTAACTATAACTTGCCCTGTAGCATTATAAGGGATGCCAATCATATATTTAAAAGTTTTAAGATAGTAGGAGAGAATGAGTTGTCCATTTACAGTTTTTGGGTCCAGATTAGTATAATTTTGTAATATTCTCAGCAGATCTAGCCTGAAATGGAGGATTTTTTGGCTTTTGAGCTGTTGCCTATTTTTAAAATTATGTCTTGATCTGACAGATCATGTGAAGGGGGCTTTGGCATAGAGGAGCCAGCAGCAGTTTTATGTAAATTCATTCTAATGGGGTACTTAAGGTGGTGGTGGTGGGGCTCTGTTTAACATGTTTTTTTCTCCAAAGCCCTGAATGATAAGCAGCACAAGTTGCAAGTATATAAATGTGGAATTTGAACTTGCCCTATATCTCGCTGGAGCCAGTGGTCAAGATGTTCCTAATCAGAATCTAAAGAGCCCTCTGGGGAACCAGGGACAGTGATTTTAACCACTTGCAGGATTTGAGTGAGCTCCTTATCAGAAATTTTACAACTTACGGATAGGAGGAGGGTCTTAAGTTGTTCACAATGTTGAAGTTGAGCAGAAGGAACAGTATAACCCATTTTTAGTTAAAATTAAAAAAAGAATGGAGAGTAAGCGATCAGGCCATAAAGCTAATAAGGGCAAGCCTCCTGATATTGGGCTGATTTTGTTGGGTCTTAGTGTAGTGCTTAGATGAGAGTGGGTTCTCCAGCTATCACACTGCAGCTGGCACTCTCAGAATTAAGTGACTTGGAATTTAATTCTGCCTAGTGTAGGGGAAAACAGCCTGGGTTGCTAGGAGAGCAATCCTTTGATGGGCTTCTAGGTGGTATATGTGCCTATTGTCTCTGGACTTTATCTTGTGACTGGTGGATGGGCTAATCCCCTAATCTGGTCCAGCTACCAGTTTATCCTGTCATGGGAGCCTTCTAGAAGGTGGCAACCAGCCCTTTTGGCTCTCTTAAGTGATTGTCCAGTGATTGATTTTGCTGTGGAGTAAGCAGACCTGAGAGAAAGGAATTTAGAGGAACGGAGAGTAGAATGAGAGGGAAGGGGGGGAAGAGAGAGGAGACTTGTGAAAGAGAAGTGCTTTACTTACTGTTCTGTCAGAGATTTCGGAGGTCTATGGGACTAATGTGTAGCTGAGGCTTGAGGAATGGCGAACATGTCCCTGGTGCCTTTTTTCAAGTCCCTGTTTGGGTGCCAACTATTGAGTCTGGAATGTGACAGCATGTCCCCAGGAAATGCTGTGGGATGAGTCGTGGAGCAGGTTTGGAAGGCAAGACGGCTGCTCAGCAAGCAGCCGCCTTGGCATTTACTAGGTGTAATAAACAAACATGATTGATTATATGACAATAGCAGGAGACGCAGGGTCCAGGGGAGACAAAGGGTAACAACTTTATGGGGAACTGGAGGGAACATGTCAGCCACATATATAGGGAGGACTTCCTGTGCAGGTACTTGGTGTAGCTTCTGAGCTACTCCCAGACCACCTCAGATGATGGTCATGTTATAGGACAGGGAGAGGGGTAGCCCAAGCCCCGACCACCCTGTTACAGTCGCACAGTCAGTGGCTACTTAGGCATCTCCTCTGCTTCGTGATGTGTGCCATTGTCTTAAGACAGTCATGCAGGAGTGCCTTATCCAAATCCTTCACATAAACGGGTGCATAGGGGAGTCCATACATACACAGATATAGAGGCCCCAAGGGGGTAGAAAGGCCACAATTGTTCTCTACAGTAGTCGGTTGAGCTCTCCACCTTTTTCTACTCCTCTCCTTCCCTGTCCCCCTCCCCTCCTGAGTATCTCAGATCTATTCTCTGCTTTCAAGAGTTAGTCTTAGTTTGTTTTTGATCCTTTGTTTGATTTCCCTAGATTCCACATATAAGAGAACACATCTGTTATGTGTCTTTCTCCTTCGAGCTTACTTGGAATAATCCCTTCTAGTTCTATCCTTGTTGTATGAGTTTATCTTTGTTGATTGCTGAGTAGTATTCCATTGTATGTATAAACTGTATCTTCATCTGTTCATCTGTTCTGGGGCATATAGGTCATTTGTATATCTTGGCTATTATAGGTAGTGCTACTATAAACATAGAAGTGCTGATTTCTTTTTGAATTAGTGTTTTGTGTTCTTTAGATAAATACCTAGGATTGCTGGGTAGGTGCCTTTTAAGTCTTTTGAGAATTCTCCACACATCTTTCCATAGAGACTGTAATTCCCACCAATAATGTAAGAGTTTTCTGTTTTTTTCACATCCTTGTCACAACTTTCAGTTTTTTTGATATGAGTCATTCTCACAGGTGTGAGATGTGAGGTGGTATCTTGTGGTTTTGATTGGCATTTCCCTGATCATTTTTTTAATCCATTTTGAGTTGATTTTCATGTATGTTGTGTTTTAATGGTTTGGTTTTATTCTTTTGCATGTGACAGTCCTTTTTTTCCCAGCAGCATTTATTGAAGAACATTTCCTTGTTACACTTTGCTTGTATACACTTTGCTCCCTTATTATGTATTAATTGCCTGTAAATTGTGGTTTTATTTTTGAGCTCTAAATCCTAGCCCATTGGCCTGTGTCTGTTAATGTTGCAATACCATGCTGCTTTAATATTATGACTTTAGAGGGGCCTTCCTGTTGCTGCAGGGGGTTGAGCGCAGTGCTATGAAGCTGCTCGCAGCCTCCACAGCTTGGGTTCGATTCCTGGCCGGCCAGGGAGACACCCACATGGCATGGCAGACCTCTCCTGTCTTGCCCGCTGCTCCCCTCAGCAGTGTGTTTCAGTCAGTCTGCCTGTTCTGCTCCCTGCTTTGTCTCTGGTAAATCCTCCCATCCTCCTACACCTCTGTCCTCTACCCCAGTTCTTGTATAAATAAATCTTTAAGAAAATATATGGCTTTATAATTTGAAGTCTGGGGTTTTTATGTCTCCATTTCCCCCCTTTTTAGTCAGGAGAGTTTGGCTATTCAATTTTATGTGGTTCCACATGAATTTGGATATTTTATTGTGATTGCATCCCTCCACAATAGTCCTTTCCCCGCCTTTCATCCTTGTCCCCCTGTAGACTCAATTCCACACTCAGATTTCTAGAGTTTATTATCGGTTTATTTTTGGTCAGACCCTTTGTTTTGTTTCTTTCTTCTTTTTTTTAAAGATTATTTGTTTGTTTATTTATTTATACAAGCACTGGGTACAGTCAGAAGTGCGGGAGGGTGAGAGAATTCACCAGAGCCAGAGCAGGGAGCAGAGCAGGCAGAAGGACGGAAGCACACTGCTGAGGGGAGCAGTGGGCGGCAGGAGAGGTCTGCGCGCCATGTGGGACCCTCCTCCGGTGGCCGGGGAGCAGCCGGGGATCGAACCGGCGCCACAGAGGCTGCGGGCAGCTTCGCAACCCAGCGCTCAACCGCTGCGTCACCAGGGAGGCCCTTTGTTTTGTTTCTTTATCTGTATTTCTCACATGTTAGTGAACCCATCTGCTATTTGTCTTTTCTCCTTCTGACTAATTTCATTGAGCATTACACCCTCCAGTTCCGTCTTCATTTTTGTAAATGGCAAGAGTTCATCTTTTTTATATGCCTGAGTAGTAATTCCGTTGTGTATACATACAACATCTTCCTCATCCATGCATTTGTCTTTGATAACTTACATTGTTTCTGTAACAACTATAATAAATAGAGTTGCAATAAATATGAGTGCTGGGCCTCCCCGGTGGCGCAGCGGTTGAGCACTGGGTTGCGAAGCTGCCCGCGGCCTCTGCGGCGCCGGTTCGATCCCCGGCTGCTCCCCGGCCACCGGAGGAGGGTCCCACATGGCGTGCAGACCTCTCCTGCCGCCCGCTGCTCCCCTCAGCAGTGTACTTCGGTCCTTCTGCCTGCTCTGCTCCCCTCTCTGGCTCTGGTGAATTCTCTCACCCTCCCGCGCTTCTGACTGTACCCAGTGCATGTATAAACAAAACAAACAAACAAACCAACAAACAAATAAATAAAGCATGCCTCTATAAAAAAATAAATAAATAAAATAAATAAATAAATAAATATGAGTGCTTATATATTTTTGAATTAGTGATATCATTTTTCTCTTTCAGTCAGGATAGCTTTGGCTATTTGGAGTCTTTTGTGGTTCCATATGAATTTCAATCATGTTCGTTCTATTTCTTTGAGAAATTCATTGAAACGTTAATAGGGATTGTGTTGAGTCTGTTTATTGCTTTGAGTAAGATGGCTGTTTAATGTTAAATCTGCTAACAAGCAGAGAATATCTTTCCATTTTTTTTGTGTCTCTTAATTTTCATTGTATAGTTCCTCCTTTGTTGTTTATTCTCTCTTGTTTAATTCTTTTTGATGCAATCGTAAACAGGATTTCAACTGATTTTTGTATGTTGCTTTTGTTTCCTGCTGTTTGCTGGATTGACTTATTGTTCCAGTTAATTTTAGTGGAGTTTGTAGGGGTTTCTATCTGTATTATTTCATCTACAAATAATGATTGTTTTACTCCCCCTCCCCCCCAAGATTAGATTCCTTTTGTATCTTTCTCTGGCCTTATTGTTCTAGCTAGGACTTCTAATAGTGCATTGAATAGTAGTGGTGAAAATGATATCCTTGTCTTTTATGAGATCCTAGTGGAAATGCTTTCAGTTTTCACCATTGAAAATGGTTTAAGCTATAGGTTTGTCATATGTGGCTTTTATTACGTTG